CTTTACTAGAAGCATCTGTGGTTCCAATTTCAAAGAAATATCTCCGTAATAGCAAAGTTGGCATTGCGCAGGGACTGCGCATGCGCACACATAATTTTTAGTATGTGCGCAATGTTTTCCCTTACTAGAAGCATGTGTGGTTAAAATTTCAAAGAAAAATCTCAGTAAATAGGAAAGTTCGCATTGCGCAGTCACTGCGCATGTCTACATAATTTTTACTATGTGAAATGTTTGCCTTTACTAGAAGCATCTGTGGTTAAAATTTCAAAGAAATATCTCCATAAATAAGAAAGTTGACATTGCGCAGTCACTGCGCATGCCTACACATAATTTTTACTATTTGCGAAATGTTTGCCTTTACTAGAAGCATCTGTGGTTCCAATTTCAAAGAAATATCTCCATAAATAGCAAAGTTGGCATTGCGCAGGGACTGCGCATGCGCACACATAATTTTTAGTATGTGCGCAATGTTTGCCCTTACTAGAAGCATCTGTGGTTAAAATTTCAAAGAAAAATCTCAATAAATAGGAAAGTTCGCATTGCGCAGTCACTGCGCATGTCTACATAATTTTTACTATGTGTGAAATGTTTGCCTTTACTAGAAGCATCTGTGGTTAAAATTTCAAAGAAATATCTCCATAAATAAGAAAGTTGGCATTGCGCAGTCACTGCGCATGCCTACACATAATTTTTACTATTTGCGAAATGTTTGCCTTTACTAGAAGCATCTGTGGTTCCAATTTCAAAGAAATATCTCCATAAATAGGAAAGTTGGCATTGCGCAGTCCCATTCCGCAGGGACTGGGCATGCGCACACATAATTTTTAGTATGTGCGCAATGTTTGCCTTTACTAGAAGCATCTGTGGTTAAAATTTCAAAGAAAAATCTCAGTAAATAGGAAAGTTCGCATTGCGCAGTCACTGCGCATGTCTACATAATTTTTACTATGTGTGAAATGTTTGCCTTTACTAGAAGCATCTGTGGTTAAAATTTCAAAGAAATATCTCCATAAATAAGAAAGTTGGCAATGCGCAGTCTGCGCAAAATAGAGAGTGCAATAAAACTGTCTGAAATGGGCAAATATAGACCATAGCAGCTATCAATTAGCGAAAACCCGAAGTCTCTAGGTGTCCCAGGGGCCGAGATCTCGATGGAACGAACGGACGGACGGACGGACAGACGGAAACACGAGCACATAAGCGTTACCTCAACTTCGTTGTGTTACGCTAAAAACCGCTCAGACCTGGATACGATATTTTTAACCAAAATTATACCACAAACTGTAAAACTCATCACCGTGTTATGATTTTGATTAGTTTTCACCTTGAAGTAGTTATCCTAGATAAGTCATATTAGTGACCGTAGTTAGGCAATGCCAAAAGTATATTTTATAAAAAAGCCATTCCTCTACGTCAATCGGATCGGCTTAAAATCGATATACGCACGGACAAGTTTTCAAGCGGCGTTAGTTATTTCGCAAATTCTAATTAAACGCAACCACTACGGGCTTAATGAATGTCCATTGCGCCAATAACTCGACAAGACGGAGATAATGCAAAAAACCGGACCTCTCTACGATGTCTAGATCAAAAGTTTTTCAATCCGCCCAGCCAGCCAGCCAGCCAGCCGGACAAAGTGAAATGATAAGCTCCTTTTTGTTACCAAAAATGCGCTAAAAAGAACTTCGTTAAAGTAAGGTAGCCTTCTTATACCATAAATACGATGGATTCCCCCTAGAAATAGAAAGAAGGTAAAGTGGATTCGATCACACGGAGTATAACTTACGATTAAGGTGGCTTGAAATTCCTCCAGTACAAAAAAAAATTCCTTACGGAAGTTTGTCCCCAATCATTAAAACGAAACTGCTTGGTGCAAACATTAATTTGGGTTGACTTGGTTAAAATATGCTTTCGCAAGGGTGTTCGATCCAAAATCAACCACTGGAAGATATAACAAGCACCCCCAACTCGGGATCACCAATCGACCGTCTTTTTAGAAGCCGGTGGCGAGAAAAAAAAAACGCTAACTTTTTTTGTTTCCGATCACGATGCAACCGACGACGAATAATTCCAACCAACCACGAGAGCCGATGGATATGTCAATACCATAAATGGTAATATCTAATGCTTATCGATAAAGGAAACGAATTTAAAACCAATGACAGCAAGGTATCGAATTACAGTCAACTGACGTCATTGATCGGTAGATCGAGAAACTAAAACGGGCAGGCAACACAAAAAATATAAAAGTAACTAGAGAATTGACATATTGGTTGCACTCAACGATGCGCGAACATGTAATACAGGGTAATGGAAATAGAAATATGACTACACAGGTGAATACTATTTTAAACTGTTACAACTGTTGCATGCATGTTGATGTCATGTCGCTTTATACGTTACTCTTGATCCGTTTATCTACAATGTTTATTTTTCTAACCTCCTTCACTAGAAGGTACATAGGTACTAACCTATGTACTTTTTATTTATAAATTTTGTTGCCCAATTTTTTGGGGGTTAAGTATAATATGGGCGTAAATCTTTACAACTCAATTTCTTATTCGCGACAAGCTTTTCCACTCGTACTCATCCGCGAAGTAGTTCTCCGTTGTTGGCTTCAAGAACCATGTCCAATCTCGGTATTCTAGATCGAGTAAATTTGTGATAAAGTGTAAGGCGTCAGAGCGTCACTTCTTGCAAAGTGAAGACTGGAAACCTTAAACTCCAAATGAGTAAAAGCATTCGCTAAATACTATACTAATTTGTTTCTAATGGTAGGGAAGTCCACTTTGCTAAATGGGAATTTACTCGAGCGTCGTTTGGACCTATTGAACTTTGCAGATTAGATGCTAGAAAGAATAAAAGTTATATGAAGTACCTACATCTTTCTATCGATGGAGAATGCGTCTAAATATTTTTAATAATGTACAAAAAATAGTCACATGAAAATACTGGAGCGCGTCAGATATTGTTACCTAGTGTATATGCCCCACGTGTCTGTGATATTGGAGGTATATCAATTAGCCGGTTTGCAGCTGGGGGAGGCTGTCCGGAAAGGTGGAAAACGGGATTTATTCGAGCGCGTCAGATATTTAGAGGAGACGCCAAAGAAGCTCCGGGTGGTTTTTTGAAAATGTAAAAAATCGTCACTTTGAACTACTCGAGCGCGTCAGATTATTGCAAAGCCGATGTAACTTGCTATCGCTGACTCCATAAAGGTATTCTCTATTAAACTAACAAAATTTAATTTATAAAACACAAATTAATACTATTATAGTAACAATCCAGAGCGTTATATGTAAAGTTTATGGCACGACCGCTTATCATCTCAGTCAACTGACATGCATATTTCAATTCATGAACGTAGAGCTTTATTGACGTTTTGTTCTAGTTTGGAGTGTGAAAATCGGCACATTATATTCCTTGTGTTATTTTTGAATAATCTCCTTCAAAATAAAAAAAATCCCACGCGCTCAAGAGTGTCAAGGTAACGTTTTTTGCAAAGTTGTGACTCTTCCACCTTACATTACGCTCGTTAGATTATTGAAATGCACACTTTTCAACACCTATACAGTAACAAAATTTGCGGATGGCAATTATAAAACGCACTTAAGTACTCTCAGTAAACCATCCAGAAATATTATTTGACAATCGCAAAATTCCCAAGCATTGCGATTTGGAAAAACCTTTTCTGTGGTCGACGGGAAAGCCTTCCATATTAACAGTTGCGTCGATTATCCACTAGTATTTTTATTCTCTTCAGAATGTGGTTTTTATTTGAAGCGCGAGCCCAACGCGAGCGCCAAGAACCATGGGCGTTTACAGTTACTATTCCTACAAACAAAGAAATAAATCAGAACTAAGGTATCGATGAGAAAAAATTAAAAGGAATTGACAAGACTAACTTGAGCCTATGCCATCCATGTTATTTATGGATGTCTTTATGTTGGTTTAAGCTTTAAGCTTTGCAGCGGAAAGAGAAGTAAGATCAGTCAGCATCCCGACTTTATCGTGTCGCCTTATTTTTGATGCTCTTCGCTCCACAGAAAATGTCCAGCGCCGGATAAATGCATTTGTGGCTGAGTGCTTGGGCGGTCATAAAGTTCATATCGGGACAAACTGATTTAATTAGTATGTCTTTTATTATAAATTTCATTTACACCACTGGATAACTATGTCGACAACTCACCTTAATCGCGACGATCACGAAACAAACGTAGGAAGTAAAAAACGGATCATTTGCAGGAGTAAATAACACATTTAACATAAAACGTTCAAAATATCCAACAAACAAATCATTAGACTATTGAGGCCACCCAAATCGTCGAAAGCACGCACAAGGATGTCGGTAATGGAAAATGATCCTATAATAGAATATTGAGAATGAAACGTAGAAATCTTGACATCGATAGAAAAAAAAACTGGAACATCCTGTGACGCGGTTTACAAAAAGAAAACTAAAATCGATCAGGAAGTATGCATTGCCGAAGAACAAAACGCTTAGTGTATTTTTGAAGAAGAATTTCATTTCTTCTAACTCGCTCCTTGCAATCAAAATAACATTAAAGTCTACACAAAACAATTGTTAAATGGCAAAAAACGAAGAAGAGTCATGTTATGCAGTGAAGTACGTTGCTATAAAAATATTTCATAATTAAAATAATCGGAGCATGGATTAAGCACATAATCTAAATATTTACCTTTTGTAAATAGTGTCCGCCAAATTAATAAGCGCTTCAAAAGCGTGTGCGTTTTGTTAAATTCATTAGCGCACGAACTGTAAAAACGCCTTTGTTAAGTCTTTTCGTTATATTCTCCTATAGAAAATTAAAGCAATTTTCTTCATGACCAACCAAATGTGCATTATGTATAAATTAGAAATACATACAATATGAAAGCAGTACGTTAACTAGCGCATACTTAGAACGCAAACTAGTACAGATAACATAAAAATTACGAGTAGGCTATAATTTGCCTCTTTGCTGGTAACTCCTTCCTGATAAAACCGGGACGTATACAATCAAAGAGTCACAGTTTATGAAGTATAGTGCGGAAGATCACTATGAAGTCGGTAGCTCTTGTGTTCCTTTTTGTGTTAGGCGCATTAGCCGATGATGTTAAAAATGAATTTGAGCAAGGAGCTATGCGGGACGCCTTTCAATTTGTGGATAAATGTGGGAATAAAGAAATTTCAGTTTGCCTCAAGGTAAGTTTTTTAATTTATGTAAATTAATACTATGATTAATAATACATCTGAACGCTAAATTTATTTATGTTTACGATCTGATGAGAACCTACAAAATTTGTACGTGGGTCGTCGAATTTTTTCGTGATACCAGGAAAATTCCGTGCAGAATTTCATAAATCATAAATGACAATGTTTTAAAGTCAAACGGTACGATCCGCGAACCGTTGTTATTATAATTAGATAAACATTTAAATTATAGTTCCGTTTTAGATTACCTAGAATGTTAACTTTTGTAACTCCATGATGAATTGTTGTGCACTAGACCTTAATCCGTGCAAATACTTTTGTGGAAAATAGTGGTTTCCTTTGTCACGACCCATATATGGTTATGAACTGAATGTAGCGTAATAACATCAATTCCTCTAACACCGATTAAATACTTGCACGCAACCGTTAAGATCGAACATGTGTTTGACTAATCGTTTCTTTTTCAAATTTTTAGGAGCGAGCCCTACAATATCTAGATAAATTACCAAACCGATTAGAAATTGGGGCCGGACTTAGCATTGAACAAGCGGAGGGTGCCGTTGATAGATCCGGAAGGGTTTACAATGATCGTGAACTGCCTGAGGATCCCAGGGCACGGGAAGAAGCTATTGACACGATGCTTTATGATAAGTTCCTCAACTTCCTATCATCGCATACTGTCGAATTTAAAGTACCCGATTCGGCCATCACGGAATTTAAGCGGTCACTCGAAGAAGGTAACCGACGGTATTTAGCAACTCTATCTTATGTTACTATGAATTTTAGGTCGCAAGAAAAAAGGCAAAAAGGGAAACATGATGGGGTTACTGATGCTGTTTAAAATGAAAGCTGCCATGTTAGCAGCTTTAGCAATGAAAGGCTTAGCTGTAATCGCATTTAAAGCTTTAGTTATTGCGAAGATAGCCCTAACTATTACGTTGATAATAGGATTAAAGAAACTTGCCGAGGCCAAGCACCATTCGTCAACATACGAAGTAGTTGCACACGATGATCATCATGGACATTTTAGGTCTTTCGGCCAAGAACTCGCTTACAGAGGATATAAAGACGACTCGAATGGAATTATAAGCTCTTAACCTTCAGTTCATTCTAACGGACTGTTGTCTGTCTGATCAGAATAATTTATTTATTTAATGAAATTGTGATTGTTCCAAATCTATTTATTAACTTATTTTTTATTGAATAATTGTTGCGTTTCATTGTAGTTAACTTGTAAATAGTAATAAATAAATAAATCCATTAAATCAAGAAAAATGATGAGAAACCGATTTTTAATTAACTAATCAAAATATTATCTTACCTAGCAACGTGAATCCAATACATACGCCTGCGAAAATGAAGACGAATATACCGCTAAGAAAATGGAATTTCGTTTGTCATTAAAAGCGATATTGACACCGCGGTTTTCACATGAATGAAATAGAGACGTAGAAGACAAAAACTTTGTTTTAAGATTCAGTAATATTTTTTTTTCCTTAGATGTGGACAGTTCCGCTAGCTATATGATCTGCACGCACGGCGGAAAAACTCAAAAGCTTTGTTATCACAACTATGACATGCACGTTCAAACCAATTCGTGGCTTGAATTAGAACGTAAAAAATCGTGTAGAACGTGTCGTACATTTTGTAAAGAAAGTTATGGCGTAAAATTTGTTTTAATTACAAAAGCCCAGCGGAGTAGTCATAAACGATTTGAATGCGTTATGATTTTCGAATACAAATTTTGTCATTTACTCGTGCACTACTGTAATTATGAATGATTTCCGAGCTCTTGTATCTTAATGTTTTCCAGGGAGCAGCACAATTTTCTAGTAATGAGTCCGTAGGGCGGTCATAATTCCGTTACAGTAAAATTAGAGTTTTTTTGAGATCGTGTGTCCTCATAAATATGCAAAAGGATAATAGTCACATCAAATTTTATTCTACGTATGAGGGCAGTGATATCGGATTCTTCACATTGTGGGGAACTACTAGATTATAATTCATTACCACTCGAGGGCTAAATTTTAAATACGGACTTTTCCTCGATAGCTTTGAGAATTCTATACTCTACAAATATTTAACAACCCACTAATACTATTTATTTCAGCTTGTATTATTATTTATTACAGTCAATGCTCTAACAAGAAATACAGTATTGTCTTGAAATTACACAGTTGATTAAATCGTCAAATTGGCTTTGTTGTGATAAATAAATTTTCGTGTTCGAAATTAGTAAAGTATTTGGTCTATGTTCGCTCTACGCTTTCGTAGAAAGAATTTGAGCGATTAAGCGGTCGTCTCAAGAACTGCTATTTCATTCCGTAATATGCCAATCAAAAACTTCCGCGTTTACGGTAAGAGTAACATATCGAGCTCTAGGAATGGCAAACTGTATGTTGGGTTAGCACGATTTTCATGTAGATACTTAAACCACAAATTGATGCTGTAAATGTAGGTGTGATTAATAAATTTGCTAAGGTGTAGGTGTTGGATAAACTGTCTACTTGGATTCAATTTTCAGTTGCCATATTTCCATAGGGATAACAAAATTGTGTACGTTTTCTCAATATTATGAGAGGCAAATTCGTTATTTGCGTTCCGGAATGAGATACAGAAAAAATGAGATTATGTGTCTGAAAGCCAAAATCCTCCGATCTAAACCATTAAAAACGCCAAACTTTCTTCCAATCGCTTAATGCAATCCACTTGGCTTTTTCTACAATCAACATTTTGCCATCAGACCATCAACAGCACCAACAAATTACGCGTGTGAGTCCTGTTTATCAAGCACACAGGGTGTTTCAGACCGAGTCGGATTTCATGAATGATCTATTTAGTATTGAAAGCTGATGTATATAATTCGAGATAACTAAAATGGCCGTTTGCACCGAGAAATTTAAGCGGGGCTTAGCTTAAACGTAGCTTAAAATCCATGACAACCATTGTCTCAATAATCGTTGCCATGGATTTTAAGCTACACTTAAGCTAAGCTCCGCTTAAATTTGTTGGTGCAAACGGGCATAAGTTACATTTTGCTTTTATAATACCGGGGTATTTAATGTTTCAGTACTTTGAATCACTATTAATGGAACTGGATTAAACGCATAATTGTTAATCTTTAATCATTTAACCTACCTCCCCTTCTGCAATAATACAAAAGTTATCCTTGCAATTCTACTCGATGTGTTGTGACCAATTTGATACATAAGATACACAAGTCAATGAATTTATATACCGGGTACCCAACCCACCTTACAAACACATGAGACAATACTGTAAACAAAAGAAAGTTATAGCAATAAGTATCCATAGTCTCTTTGGTTATAGGTACGTAAATTCGGCCAAAGTTATCTGTGACACTGTCTTTAAAGTGGTTTTATAGTGTTTTTTCAGTTACTGGAAGTGTACTCATTTGCTGTCAATTGTCGAGTTCAATACGAACATGTGTGAAATTTCAAATTCAAATTGAAGCAAATATGGAAGGGTAGAGTGATTTGAATAATTTATGGGCCCTATCAAGACAAATATCACAAAACAAGAAACAGTGGCAGGAATTTGTGTATACGAACTGAAACAGGAGTGAAAAGAGAGGAACATTTATTTTGTTGATAGATGTCTAATTTATTAAATCTCTTTAATTTATGAGCTATAAAGGAGATAATTAAGTTGTATAAGCAATTAATGTTTGTTTAATAACATATGTAAGAATGTATGTACAAGTTACTGTAACACTCGAAATCCGCCACCAAAGAAGGTAGAATGTTACTGAATTATATATATTTAAGGATTGAACATAGGAGATTTTTATGTTCAGAGTTAACATTTACGCACTGTATAATAACAACTGTATTTTAATCGCCATAATTACAGCAATTATTACCTACGTCCTCGCGTTTTCAATTAAAATTAATTAACACGTAATAAACACTACTGTACTTTTTTGTTATTTATTGTGCTAACATAATATTTAAATGGTTTATAATTTGCCCTATACCATATTGAGCCATTTGATTCCCTTTAATTTGTAATTATTTGTTCCAAAACTCCAAATATACGTTCACCACTGTACTAACTCCAAATCATTTACGCAATCTTCTCTAGATATTGCCATTTTACCTATCGCTACATGTCCATTTTGTACATTACCCTTCGCTTCTCATTCTCATCCATGTTTATACCTACCAAAAGAGCCATATGTTCTTTACAAGCATTCGCAATACGTACTTTGGCCTTCTAGCATGTGAACTATACCAATGAAGTGTCGAAATAGTAAAATGTCTGCGTATCGTCCCTCGTTCGCAAGGAAAATGAGGTTCAATGCTTTAGTACAAGAGGAAATGTTGAAATGTATATGTTAAACTAGACTGATCCCAATACGGAACCTTGCGCGACTGGTTCAAAGGAATGTAGACATAATACAACATTATGATAATACGCGCGGTTGACACTGCTTGGACTCTACCCTGCAAATAACTGAGAATAATTTCCTGGCTACATAAAGACAATCCTGAGTAATGTAAGATAACAATGAACAGTTTGTGATTAATTGTGTCTAAAGCCTTTGTAAACTTTTAGAATTTTTCTATACTATACGGCTGTCAGTACCTACGTGTGTTTATGAACCTAGTAAATTTCGATTTTTTTGTAATTTGGGCAAACCGGGTATTTACTTCTAAATCAAAATTATTTAAAAGATCTCATTATCAGTGAACAATATGGTGGGGTGACGCCGTGACGGTCACATTCATTATTTTAAGTCGGCCTGAAGATTTACTTAAAATTTTAGCATTTTGTATTTTTGTGTGGGTCATACTGGGCAACGCGGTGTGTTACACGGTATAGCGAAACGCATTAAATTAGTTAAAATAACTTTCATTGCAATTGCAGTTTGCCTTACGCTAAATCTCTCAGCTGTACTCCACACACTAGATGGCGCTGCTAACAAAACTTATAACTGAAAACTGTTACTGGGGTCCTCTGTATTTATTCTCTACGTGAAACACGATCATTGTCTCGCAGCGTACTAAATTACCTAATGAACAATAGCTATGGTACGAGATCGACCTTTAGTTTGTATAAGTAAGTTTAATTGCTGCAACATAACGTATAACTTGGAGTTATATTTAAGCATTTTGTAAATGATAACGCCACAGATTACTGGTGTAACAGACTTCTGCTATGCTTGCTCGCTTCCGCTTCTAACGGAAGTATAGTATATTTTCAAATACGGTAAGCTCTTATTGGTCGAACAGGACGGCACGTGACGAGCCTTGGGCGGGGTTTGTCAGCCGAACGTTGGTCTTTTATGCTTTGAATCATCTCATTATAGTTCGTCGTAACAATTCGTGCGTTTTATTGTATGTATTCCATACATAATGGGCACCCTGTATAAATTCCATAAAAAATAGACATTTTCGGTAAGATATTCTTATTTCATTTCCTTTATACAGCATATTAGGGTTGTGATATTTGAGTTAGTGGGTGAAATCTATCTGCTTGAGAACATGGTTTAAACTCACCTCATAGGTGTGATGGATAGTTGATGAATATGTTTCAGAAGTTAGAAACAACATCCTTCCATTGGATTGGGGGCCTACCTAGAATCACAAATCTGTACATTTTCTTAGACAAAACGTAATTCAACTTTACCCACGGTCGTTCAAAGGTATTTCCTGTGAACGTATTATTATTTGAAGGAGAAAGTAAATACTAAACAATAGAAAATGATAAATATTTTTCGGTTAAAACGTACGTTACTGAAATGTTTTCTCTACGGAAACTTTATCTTTTAACTAAGGCAATGCAATTTCCAAAACTGTACAGGTTAACAAAAAAAATACCTCTTCTCTTGAGGGTTTGAGCCACGACGGAAATGTAAGTTTTAAGCAACGTAATTAACTCATTAAGTGAATGGATGTCCGATGAAATACAAAGATGTGAATTTTTCTATAAACAAAGCACTTTCACTACAGTCAAATTTACTGATTCGTAACATTGTCATATATAAAGGGATCGCCCAAACGTAAGAAATTCAGTTAAAAATGTACGCGTCCGATGTACTATTATTAGGTGTTGCTATGATAACCCACTTGGGATACGCGGCCCTTCTCGATTCATTTAATCAGTGTCTAATTAGTACGCCTACTTCGTTTGGATACTGCTTGGGGATAGGGGCGTTGAGCAAATTGCAGAGCATTGATAATAACCCCGAATATGACGTCGTCGACGGCGTTACCTTCGCGAAGGACGAACAAGAAGTAAGGGAGAGTTACAATTTTCTAAATCGCGATCCAGGAGATTTCAGGTAAGTCTTAATTGTACAATATGTTTGCATACTGAAATTAGGGTGTTTCGGGGTTGTATGCACAGTGCAAATTAAAAAATTGCTTGGAGGGCGTATTAAATTTTGTGCAATGTTTCACTGGCACATCATTGATAGCGCTACACCTATTAATTTGATTTTGTATGCTCGCATACAATATGTTCGCAAATTGGAAATTAAATTTTTAAGGAAATGAGATTAAAAGCAAACTTATGTTAGGCGAGGAGTTACAAGTTCTTCAACAGCGAGAAACACTCTGGAGTATTAGCCTTACTGCAATTTTGCTGTGTAGACATTAAATATTTATGTTTTGGTAGCAATGTGTGTCAGACGCATAACTAGATATTCTCCCTAAGTACTAATTCCTTTTAAAACAAAAGGGAATTTCCATTTTTTTGTTTATTCATTTTATATCACAAGCCCAAGTAATTCTCGCGAGAATCGCCTCCTAATCTCTTTTTGTGTCTTCGTTTCATGGATGCGTTGCTTGAGGTCAACTTTATTTTTCTCTCGTTTGTGACCGATTAACCTTTACTTCGCCACGATTATAATTTGTCCAAATATGTAGGAAAACAGCATAGTTGTAGTGTCATCATTTAATGAGGGCACAATTTTATAGCCACGGGGAACTGTGATTGAAGTATGCTTCATTACAAAATATAATGGAGACAAAAATAAACCACAAAAATTCTTATACGAACAAGCGACTTTACAGTTTACATGCCTGCTATATTCATATACTAGTAACTACTTTGATTTGACCCATAGCGTTATATAGGTAACCTAATTTTCTCACTTCTCGTCCTTTGTGAACAATACCGGATTTAATACCGGCTGATTTTTTTGAAGTAATGATCATTTGAATTTCCCACAAATCAAAAAAATGTTGAAGTTGGTACTAACTGATGATCATTTATTTAATTGCAGTGGTTTGTTTTACCACAAATTATAAATTGACACTAAGCACATCAGTTTTTCTTACAGATTTCAGTGCGTTGACTATAAAAATCGTTCAAGGTAGAGAAGTAATAAATCGCAAATGGCTTACAGCAAATAAGGGTGGCACAGGAAAAGAGTTTTTATCGACATTCATACTACCAATTTAATAATGCAAAAAATACTAAAACGTTACGCGCGAAATTCAAACCATGATCACTTCTAAAGAATCGCCCGTTACAATTCTCAATACAGAATGAGCAGGTATCACTGGCAACGCATTGCTTGATATAGATCTTTCGTTAAAACAAGAAAATATTCCAATTTGGCAAACCTGCTCCATTATTACACCTCTTTGTAGAGGAAATTTTTATGTTCAAGCAGTTATCATTTTACGACCCTACAAATAAACCCTTTAGTTTTTGGTTTTGCTGGTTTTAATTGGTAAGGAACTTTTACAGCCACCTCCGCTACTGCCGCCATAAATGAAGTGAAACGGAACTTTACTATCATAGGGAAATCTGAAGGACCTTAAAATATCTGAGATTACCTATGTGATATGTTGCTAGGATCCCCACGGGTAGTACATACACAGGTTTGCAATCCTAAGCAAAGTGAAATCGGCGTCGGGTTCGAAAAACGTGGTTTCCCTGTGTGTGTTGGGGGGAGGGAGACTGAATTTAACCGTAGGTAGCTAATGATTTGATGAAGGCAAAATAATGTTCTCAGTGCCATTGATGTGGATATTCTCGCCAGCATTGGTGACTGCTTCTTGGGTGGGGTGTGGATCTAAGGCAATGCTTGCGAATATTATTCCATAGTTCTGTCCCAGAGAGAGACATAAGTGGTGCCGCGCTCTCTGACAGCATGTAGGTGCAAAACCATTTAACATGGGTACGTGGTGATTTCCCTACATGAAAAGGGTGATGGTGAATGATCACTGACCCCTATCTGCCGTATTGCTGGATGTAGACGTTGCTCTAACCAAAGTTCAGCCATTGGTGTCAATACTTGCTTGAACAATGACTTCTTAGAGGGCCATCTATCGGACATATTTTGCATTTTCTCCGAAATTTATATGATAGGTTCGCCCTCATTAATCAAACTGCGAATTCATGAAAACAAGTCTCACTTTCAAAACTAGTTGTACAAAATCAGATTCGGATTCGTTTGAGAAATGGGGGTAGAACACCAACAAAAGAACACTCACAAAGCAGTTGTATTCCACCCAATATAATCGAATTCAATACCTACGTCGAATTTAATCGCGCATTCGCCTTTGTGAACAATGACCCTATAGAGACAGTGTGGTCATATGGTGGTGTTAATTTTTATTGGTGATTGGAGATTCGCCATGTTTTGGTCAAATACACCGGATTTGTGTAAATTAACTCGGAAACCAAGGTGATGAATTTATCTTGCTGGACACAATTGTGGCAGCACTATTGTGACCATAGCAAAACCTACTAATTCGGTTAGACCAGTCAGCCTAATGATATAAACCCCACTGATCTGTTTATCAGTTTCTGGCCTTGTAAAGTAATGATAATATTACCTACCTCATAAGGAAACAGGCCCATTTTCTTATACTTATAGATAAATTCTGTGAATACACTCTATTGGCGTATTCTGTAAGTAGTTTGTGCAAGGGTGCGGTTTGGTGTTTTTTGTTTATAGCTTGCTGATATTTTCTTGCAGATCTAATGGTACAGTATCGACCCGTTAATTTATACCACGCGTATATAGGAATTTGAAAATGTCTCTCAAAGAGGCAGGTAGATAATACAATTTTAGAGGGAAGTACTTCAGAGTAAGAAGTTCGTAATTTATTTTTCAAGGATTAATTTTTGAGATATATTTCCATATTCAAAAGCTCCCAGATACCAAATTTCGTCGAATGTATTCCCATTTATAGTTACGCCATTTGCATTTTGGAAATCATTTTACAAAATCAGAAAGAGTACCTGTACCAAAAAGCCTAGCTAGATAAAGCCGCAAGTTCCACCCCTATATGTGGTATGATTTCATTCTCTAGGCAAACGATCATTTTGAAACTATGGTTCAATGTTTGTTTTGTTGGTCCCCCTTACTCACCTAATTTTTGGTATACCAAATTTCTAAGATTCGCTGATTGCTAATTACATGGTGGACTCTAAATGAGTTGCGTATGCCATAAAATGGTTTCCCATTAAATACTTCTTCTTTTAACGTGTCATTATCAATTTAAGATCATACATGGAGATAACAACCATAATAACGATAGCAAGCGCGATACGTCAGTTATGATAAAGGCAATTTTCCAATTTGTGAGCAGGTGAGCTGTCATAAACTTCTACACCTGCAAAAGCGCGAAATTTTGATCATAGGAAGCAGGTTTTCATTTTCCTTCCACCGAAACTTGTGATGTGGGGCAGATTATGGCAAGTATCTTTCAAATGATTAGATAAGCCTGAAATTTGGTATGAATGCTCCTATAAGGGAAAGGGTACTGTTTTATGTGAAAACGCTGCCCATTAAAACAATTTAAAATGGTCGCCGTTGTTCTGTGTTGGCCTCTTGGAAAACGGCGGCCATCTTGAACTTCTTAAGTGGCCACCGTTTTCTCTGGATAAGAAATTATAAACATGTTTTCTTGAAGGGATTTGCATAACTACCTTTACAAACGAGTTTACAAGGCATCCACAACAGTAGCGGTTAAAGTTCCGATAGAAATGTCGTAAAATATATTGGATTAACTGCTTTCTATTCACCAAACTGCCCGCGATAATATTATTAGAATTTCTTCCATTCAAATGTTTACACTTTCGTAAGGGCCAGCACTTCGTTGCTATTCAGTTCATCCCAAACACTTTTCCCATTCCACGATTCCACTTTCCAGTGTTCCTATATACGCACGTGGCTATAATGACCTAAAAGCTTTCTCCGGAAGGGTAGTGTACATAAATGGAGATTTTGCATTCGGTTATATAATAATGAGGGTTCGATAAATTGCCCCTTTTCTGATTATTTACCGGACCTACAGCTATAAATAATCCTTTCTACTGTATTACCAAAAGGTGTCGGCAAACTGTGTTTCAATTAACAACTTCCACATTCCGCTAAAACTACTGCTGTTGCTGAAAATTAAGCGTTTTTGTTCTACGATCGTACTGCAGGAATTGATTGCCGCCTTCTTAGTTGCCGAGCTTTTTCTGTTTTCAATGTAATAAATTTAGGGCGATTTGCAATTAAGTTTCATTATCATGTACGTAGGTAATTGCTTACGGATATAGAAGCAGCGCCTTTGTATGATGTTATAGATGTTAATTATCTTTACTCGTCAAACGTGAGGAATTCTTTATTAACTAATCCTTTGTCCGGAAAGCGAAGGACATACTTTGTAGCTTCAAGTAAACGATCGGTAATCAATCACCCATGTACTTAATTAAATATTCTCCTTATGTAAGTAACTATACAACATGACGTACAGCAAAATTGTAATTAGTTAAGTAGTGGAGCACGATCTTCGCAATTGCTTTACGGGTAACATTAGAGCACTAAATATTGTGATGGGGGTGCAATTAGCATTCCCTTAAATGAGGGTTCGGTAAACGAAGTAACGCATTACAAGATGTTCAGATTGACTCTTGTTTATAGTTTTACAATCGCTTCTATCCAATTTCAATATTTTCTTCATTGTTCAATTTACAGCTTAGTTGTTTTTAGATTTTTATGACTCAATTTGAGCAACATGAACTTAAAAACCCTTCAAATCCAGATGCAGGCACACATACAAGGTGAGGCATAATAACGAAAGAGATCTAAAGCAAAAACACTTAGTTAAACGAAAAACAAAACAAAAATTTAATCATTTTAAAGTACGTGAAAAAGCCCTAGCCGAGCCCTAGACGCCTCTCCACTCTTTAATCGCACATACAGAAGACCCTGGGCAAAAGGGCGATTCCTATCAATGTTGTAGTGGGTGCGAAACGCATAACGCGTTAGTGTTAAGAACTGTCGTTTTGATAAAACGCTTTAACAGCATAGGCACGCCGCACAATTCATCCATTGAGATTGAACGCTATTTTGCGATAAACGTAACTGATGCAATCCCCACCACTTCCCACCAACACAGCTTGATTAGCGCTCCTTTCAAAAGCGCTAGTTATTATGGCTCACTCAGTATAACCTTTGAATATAAAATATTTATATTTTATATTCAAAGGTATAACTAAGCAAATCGAGTACAAGAGGTGAAAATTTTTTTTCTCAATATTAAAGAGCGTGGTGGCGCTCCGCCCCGCCAAGTCAAAAAGTAATAATCTGCGCTACCAAGAGATATTTAAAACCACAGTTTTCACGCTATTGTAGTTCAAAAAAATAGGTAGAGCACATTGAGCTTTTTTAAGATTAAAAAAGATTTGCCGAAATCTGTGGAGTGTAATCGGAGATATTCGCTGGTGTAAATGACCGTTTCCACTTTGTGCTGCTGCTGCCTGTCTTTGTTCTTTGACGTTGATCACACTACAGCAAAAACTAACGGGCGGGTTTTAATGAATGTGTTTATGAACTTGGTTGTGCCATTAAATTTTTTTTGTAGCCTCACAAGTTCAGTTCCAAAAATCAAAAAGAACCTCAAAACGTGAGCAAAAATGACGACTGTAACCCTACAAAAATGTGTGAAATACCTCAAAAATATCGCTTCGCGCCAAAAAATCCCCGTTTTCGTCCCAAAAAAGTGAGGAAATCTTGAATTATCTTTATCTCTATCCCTCATATTTATAGACTTACTTTTCGCGATTTTCTACTGCAATGTTACCATTCTTAATACTAATATTGTGAAAAATTCGAAGTTGTATTATAGTATTCTTGAAATCTTTAAAAATATACTTTTTTAACTGAATTGGAAATTCTTTGGCGTTTTCTTGAAGTTCTTGAAATCTTTTTAAATTTTATTTGAAATTTTTTTAAGGGATTTGGAAATTGACTTCTGACACTGCCTTTCAGGTTTTATACTGTCACTTTTTCACATTGTAACCATCTTTCGTCGACTGACGAGCCAGAGATTCTCTTCTCGTTGATGTATACTAGCATCTACATGCCTTTTTTTTCGAAAAATTCCCTTTATGTGATGGTTTTGTACGTCTGCCCGTCTGTCCATCTGTTCCTGCTCTCGAGAGAGACAGTGACACCAACCTTCGCCAATCGATTCTATACGAGTTCAAGCTTCAAGGATCAATGCTATTGAATATGAGCCGGATTAAAAGTTTGGTTTCCGAATGCGAAAATTACTGAAAGTCGTATGCGATTCTTCGTATCGTGTTAGCATCCTTTGTAGACTTTTGCATGTACTTGTGCTTGCTGAATTTACTAGGTGCGCTTGCTCCAGGTGTTTTTCTCCATAGTGCATTTGCAAGTTTGGTCACATTTCCACGGAACCCTTGGTTCTGCTCTTATGTGCGAACATAATATAGTTTGCACATCGTTTCATATTCCTGCTCATCGCTTGATCTACTACCTCTAAAAATTGAAATTGAAATTCAACATTCTTCGGAGGTAGCGTTCAATGAATTTTTAATAATCCCCATGGTTTTGTCATTGCCATATTTGTATATGGACGTGGAATCAGTGGCAGCGTACTAGCTCTCTGTACGCAACACCAGAGCACATCGCAGAAGCTGGAGCACTAAGTTAACAAACAGCACTAATAAAATTATTTTTACATTTTAATCAAGTAACTTTTTTAATAAATTTAATAATTTATTATTTTTAGTCGTTAAATAACCTCTTTGTACCCTCCAAAATTCAAAACCATTTTTATTAATTTTGTTTTTTTTTTAATTTTTCTAAACGGAATTTTAATTCTCACAGAAAATTTCAAAATATTTTCCTGTTAACGTAATTGCTATTATCATCGAATGATCAATTTGCACGTCTTTTCAATAGCTATAAAATTTTTCCTTCAGAGAACGCATCGGCTCTTAATATAAAATCGAATGTCTTGTCTAAGGTTGATGTCATAAGGGGTATCGCTCCAGTCGCATCCCTCTTTATTAAAAAAAAATCAAATATAGGATATTATTGTACCTAAACTTGAATTCAGCACGAATTAATTTTACGGAAGTAAAATATTCCTGAAAATCTGCCTTACTGGTTACGATAGTTCTAAATGTCATAATTAACGTAAAAACTACGGTGAGATTTAGTGGTGCGTGAAATTTGGGGAGCGAATGTTCCTTCTACAAATACAATGGGGGCGAATTTTCATAGAGCAAATATTTAGGTAGCAAACTTTCTGCTTTTTCCCGGGCCTTCGCTTTGCTTATTAGGTACCTATATGTGTAAGCCAACAAAAACAATACCTACCGTGTAATGTAATTTATTTTTATAAACAACCCCTCTGTGCTCTCTCCACGAAAGAAGGACAATTAATTAAAATATTGTAAAACATTTGAATTTCAGGACGATAGTGGACTCTGTCGGCGACGTGTTTTCACGCAGAAGTATGCGTTGGGATATGAGCGTCGTTTATCCGGGATTATCGATGCGAGTAGCGCCATCAGCAAGTCCGGCAGGTGTACTAGAATTCGTCATAGATCCGCACCGTGAAGCTCTCGCACACCATACGCTAAAGGAAGTCGGTACAGGTGAGTAAATGTAGGAAACCTTGAACTTTCGCAAGATCAAGGATTTCTTCTTGACGATTGCGAAACTTCCGCGCAACGTCAGATGGCAGGTCGGCGTTTCCTAACGTTCAAAAGCAATATTGCCATCGGGCACCATTTACCAATGTGTGTCAATGGGGTTACTGATCCATTAATTCTAGCATCAACGAAATAAGTAAAATCTATCGTGACAAATTTCTTTTTTTTGTAGGTCGACTGATAGCCAGGCATTTTCTACTGCCGCTTCTGCTGGGATTTAAATTTAACATCGCAACTTTAATACCGATCATGTTTGGGCTTTTAGCACTTTTGGCGAAGAAATTTATATTCATAAGCAAAGTGGGTCTAATTATGACCACAGCCATAGGCTTGGGATCAATTTTATTTAAACAGCCCTATTCTCAGCACGTGCCTCAAGGCGGTCATTATCCTTCTCACGGACACTACGGTCTTGGAGCGTACAACCGGTAGGTAATATAAATTATGAAATATTATATCATCCTTTGTAAATATTGTTTAGATATCCAGACGACGAAAATTATTACTCCGACCACATCTTAAGGGATCCAAATGAGGGAAACACTATTAATGTATTTAATAGTATACACGATGCTCTTGATGGAAGAGAGGAAAAATCAATTGGAGGGAAAAGAAATTTCGCTTGGAACGAAGCGGAAAAGAAAGAAAACCCATAGATAGGTGTATTATTTAATTTTGTTGTTATTTGCAGTCAGATTATTTATTACTTCGTGTTATTACATACTTTACAAACTAGGAGTACGTTTATGTAAAAATGTTTCACTTTTTCCTGCCGTCTACTCGGGTGAAGACAAGGTACCACCCTTTTTACAGTACCTACAGGGTACTGTACAGGGTTATTTCAAATGATTTCAAGCTTACGGAAACCTAGCACACAAAGAAATAGGATGGTTACATTCTAAGGAAAATTGAAAAAGTTCCATTCCAGGAATTATAAATTAAGAATGACATAATGGGGATTTACGATAATTCAACCGGTTAAACCGGGTTTGTAGATTTTGCTATGGTTACAATTATTGCCACAATTGTTTCTATGGTGATTTCTACCAATCCGGTTAAAGCGGTTGAATTATCGTAAATCCCCAATATAATGCTCGCCAAGAGAAGAATGCCGGTCACAGAATACCTGATACCGGTCAATTAATTATCGTACGATAGTAGACCGGCATCAAGTGTTCCGTGACTGGCATTCTCTCCTGGCAAACCTAATAGATACCCCGGTTGTATACACTTTATATTATACACCACAAGAAAAAAATCACAGAAGATGATATCCGGAGGTCTTGATGGCCAGTTCAAGAGAGCGTTATCATTTAGATCTTTACACAACACGCAGCTTGCACGTGCCCCAACCATCATAAACAAAACTATAAGCTTTTCTTTCCAGTGGTACCAACTGAAGTGGTCTTAAATCAAATTAATACAGTAATATTTTCATTCGAAATCAGGAACATCATTTGTAATAACCCTGTACATTTTCAATCGTTTCTTTGTGATATCTTGTTTTTTGTTGCTAACGTTTATTGGTTTTCGTGTCTATTATGCCAATCCCTCAACATCGGAGTTTTGAAGCAAATATTTCATCAAACTTGGGGTCGAGAGTTGTGGTAACTTAAACAGGAAGAATTGGCGTAAAATTGTACATTTAGAGGAGTACCACCGTGCCGCTTAGTATGCGCAACTTTCACAAATGCAGCAAAAATGTCTCAAGATTTCTAGGATAATATCAAAGCAGGTTTCTGTGTAAGAAAGAGTTTTATATTAAACTTTCAGGAAGGGTTCTAATACTTGTCACAATACATTGCTTAAAATTTCTAAAAACGTTTCCATTACTAGGTTATTAAACAAAAACGAGTATCCCAAAATTGTTGACATGATTTAATCTCAATGCTGTATCACGTGTAAAAATTTTATTATTTTTGGTCTAAATATTTGCTCAATTTATGGTTATGTTTAGAATACATTGTCTTGGCCCTAAGTTAAATTTATATACTTGCCCATTCGTTTAAATACTCGTAAATCCTTGCCAGGGATCTGTGCCCCTGCGTCATCAACGTACGAATCAAGCAACATCTAACTTGTTGATAATGCCATTTCATTACCGCGCAATTCAAACAAGGATAGATCATAAATAAAGTGCATTTCACGCGTTCGACGTACGCTATTAATGGATTCAATGCGGTGAAAAGAGAACACCGATGAAAATAAGGTGGCTCCTGTTTCTCATGTTTATAAAATTGGATACTCATTTGACTAGCTACGTGATTGTTTTGTTGACCGACATACATAACCTCTCATTTGACATTTCGTTCATCTGTCACTGCATTTTGTTTGATTCTTTCCATTTGCCTTTTTTCCGCTTTTATTACTTAGTGTCGACAACAGTTCTTACAGCTTTACAACTTCGTCAGATAATTCACAGCATAACAAAACTTCGTAATGTCAATAAGATTTTTAGCGCCGCTGCCGCCATCTCTGAGCATACATTATCATTCAAGGATATTATACATATAATTATTACGGACATAATTTGACTAGCTTTTTTCATATTACACCATAAAATATAAATGATGACGCAGGGGCACAGATCCCTGGCAAGGATTTATATGTGGAAATTATCGAATTATTTGGTGTATTTATTTGGTGCATACCTATAAACTAACACTTTTCTCCGTGAAGGAACCGTCACAGGGATGAAAAATGTTGCAAGCACTCTAGTTACCGTATCTAAGATTTATATTATTTGACCTGTTGGCTTGGATATTTCGCACGAGAGGCCGGTTACAAGCCCCAGGAGCGGGGCCCTGCTAACAAAAGCTCTTCGGTTTAGAATTTATGTGCTATATGGGATGCGATTCATAAACTTCAGCTACCTTGTTCTGTTACCAGCTTGTAATCCAACCACTTTCTTTGTTTTTCAACTTGCTTCTAACCTGTTGTTGCTATCATTTTTTGTGTATGTAATATTTATCGTGCTTCATTATCAGTCATTTAATGGTCTTGCATATTGACAACATTTTCATTAGTGCTCATTTGAGATCCAATTTCAAAGACTTATTCAAAATATGAATGATACAATTACACCTTTGTAGTGTTTGATTTTGCATTCTTTCTCTACCGTACTTGAGGTCATAACATTGTTTACAACTTTCGTAAGGGGTCTTTTGACGACGTGCGGCTTCTGTTTGCCGGTTTGATTTTATTTCAGATCAGAGTAGTATGAAATTAGCGTAGAAAACTGTATATATAGTGACGCTGTAAATGAACGTTCAAGCTCTTCCGTAGATACTCCATCTGAGTGAACCAATCAACCACCAATTAGTTGGACGGTGGTCCAATGAAACAAAACGCAACTGGTACTTTTGGTAAACCATACCTCTCGAAAAATTAGGCACAGGAAAGCATATGTGTTGGTGTCAAAATTAAATTGAATTGACAACCTTAGCGCTAACTTCCCAGAATTAGAAAATGAATAACTAGTTTCAAGGCACCCCACACTATACTATTTATAATGCGTGTTCATTTCACCATTTACCATTACGATTAGTTACAGAATTGGTTTATTTCATTTGCGTTGGTATTTCTGTGGTGCTATTTTTTCCTTTAAAATTTCTGTAACTGCGTAGAGCTCATTTGAGTCTGATTGTTTAATTGTAAAACGTGAATTTGCGTGTTAAAATGTGGAAACATCTGGTCGAGTTTGCGTGTAATAAAATATTTTTGTCTGTTGATTTGCCATAAGGAGTGTTTATCGGACGTAATATACTTAACGCACGTGTTTTGGTGCTGATAATAAGATATGCAGGTGTAGAACGTAAGTGCGCATTATTTTCGGCGTAAGTGGGACCGCGTTCCTTCCAAGCTGGCGTTATCAAGACCTATTGTAATTGACGTATTATTTCTAAATAAGGGAAGGAGTATTTTGCTTGGTGGAGGTGATGTTTCGTTAAATACTGGAGAAAACGAAAAAACGGGGTTAATTCGCCAAGGTTGGAAAAGAGTGCGTTGCCTCTTTAAGTTACTTTGTTGGAGCTGCCCGGCCGATTTCATTCATTGAAGGCGCAGTTCATTTTTATAATATCCCTGTGAGAAGTTTAAAGCGTGTTCTGTTTTCAAAATCCAAATTCCTTAAAAAACATTATGTTTGTGTGTTGCCAAAAGTTCGTGTGGATTTGATTTTGCTTGGATTAAATTATAGAAAAATGTCTGGGACAGGGTGTCTTAAATTAAGAAAGATAACATGGCTATCTTTGTTATTATTATACTTACAGATTCGGTTAAATTGGCAAAGTTTCGTAGATAATTGCCATTTTAAAAAATTTAACCGGACCTGTAAGTATAATAATAACAAAGGTAATCATGTTATCCTACTGAATTTAAGACACCCTGTATAGTTTATAAGGCTGCGGGATGGTTGGTAGGGAAATTTCCACATGGCGAGTCGGCGGTAGTGAGTTGACCGCGGTGACTTGTCCTGGACCCAAAATATACCGGGTGAATATTCTAAAACCGAACATAGGGAATTAACATGGGAAAAAGGATATTTGCAGATCGTTACTCCTTATGTTAAATTAGAGGGTTTATAATGACACCAATCCAAAGAAGATTTTTTTCTCATCTAATGATATGCAAATTAGTTCATTTTCTAGTGTATTTCTCATTATTTTATCAAAAATTCGTGAATAAATCCTAAATGGTAATAAAATAAGAGTCGCAGCATCAGAAAATCGAGGAGATCTAAATATTTGTAGAAAGCAATAAACTCGGCAATATATCAGCAGTGATGCCGCAGCTACCTGAATTTAAAAATCCACTAATAAAAGGTTAAAATCGAGGTTAAAATTAAAAACAATAATCCCAAGGAATGAATGTTGTCACGTTTTCATCAAATAAGACGACTCACACTGGAGTATAATAAATAACCTAGAGAAGGCAAAAGACAGACACATACATATGTTTACAAATTAAAGTTGGCGAAAGTTTTTGTACTAATCCAAACGAAATAGTCAACCATTAATTTGAATGTTTCTTTTCGAATGCCAGTCAGTTTGGTCAGCCTCAGCTATCTCATAAATAACTGTATACAATCAAAGCCACCAATTTATATTCATTGTATTTTATCCCGACAAATGAACAAGAAGTCACATGTCTCATAAATCAACTTTCTAGTATTAAATCGGTTGGACTGGACGAGGTGTCGATCAAACTAATTAGCTTCAATCATAGCCTACTTTTATTACAACTCCATTGAAACAGATGAAGTTCCCGATATAATAAATCAGGCCTTGATTGTTGATACAATACAAAGGCGCTACGGATATTCAGCCTTGTAATGTATCATTAACGTCAAACTTAACGTGTAGGTTATCTGCCAAGAAACCACCACAGGGCTGAATATCTCTAATTATGGCAAACCAAATCAAAAATATTCGATGTGGAACACGGCACTCCGCACGGAAGTGTTTTAGGCCCTTTATATGTGAATGATCTTCTACGCCATCTTATCTTAGATCATAGTGTTGGGGATGTACGCAGATAACTGCGGTAGTTTATGTGCTGATAGTGCGGATGTGGTGAAACAATGGATGCACACTGCGTTGAGGAACTTTGACAAGGACAAGGAAGAAACATAAGAAAGTTTTTTTTCCTAAGACTAAAAATGTAATTTTACTACAAAACTTTAGGTATCGCTATTGATAGTAAACTATCATCTGAAGAGCATATTAATTTAGTGTGTAAGAAAGTTTTTTTTTGTGGTTTTAAACTTGAAATAATATTAACGTAAAGCAGCTCATTAGTGTTTACTATACGCTCGTGCATACTCCATAATTAATTACAACATTATAGTATATGGGGGTCAATTGAGAACTATACATCAAGTGTTTATTGCTAAGAAAAGAATATTAAGACTTATTTATAGTATGAATTTAGTTTAATATCCGACACTAAATTAGTATTACGAGTTTTTTTTTTGTTTTTACGTTCACCAAGCGGAAGCGGCGTCTATAACACAGGTAATTGGCACACCACCACACGATTTATCTACACTGTTTTGATAATTTTTCTATTAATATTTAGTGAATTTTAGTTTAAGATGTTGTGCAATGCCCCCCCGGAGGAAGATTACCGCACCCCCGGGGAAAGCTTAACAGTCAACAGCGAAATTCAAGTTAAATCAAGCAATGCATTGTATTACTGTCATATTTTATAAAATGAACACTTTTGAAGCGCTCGCAAAGTCTAGTTAACAGCTGAGTATACTGATATGGTAACATCTACCGTCGTACCGGCTACCGCCCGTCTAACCTTACTACGTACCTTCACTAGTTTGCTTGTTTTCTGCGGGTATCTATAGTGCTAGTGCTAAAACTGCTAAGTGACAAGTGCTGCTGCTACTAAAAAACTAAAATAAGTTTGTGTGTGTGTGAATTCGCGAGCATCAAGATTCAAGAGACTTATTCTTTCCTCTTCACGGCTGACGGCATTAGAATTATAAAAACTGTTGGAGTAAGTGAAGTAAACTTGCGATATTTTTCACTTTGTAGGTTTCCTAGTTCTCGCTTCCAATTTCCAACCAAGTTCCATTCCACTCCATAAATACAATGTTGGATTGATCGAATTTTGTGGCAACTTGGCAAGAATGTTGGGATTTGCAATTTTGTTATGAATAGCGCACTGTTACCTAATAGGCACAGGCACGATAAGGCGATGCAATTTAACACTTGGAGGTACCTTTGATAAGCCAGCTATCAAGTTTATGTATCATATTTTCATACTGGTGATTGTTTTATTTATTTCGCAGCATTCAGCATTGTTGTGCACTTTTTCGAATGCAAGTTAAATTATTGATTAATTGTATATCAAAAATGTGCCAAGCGAAGTCATACATAATGGCCGATTGCATACTTACTTAAAAAAAATAGCGAAAAGTATGCGTGGATAACTGGTCTTTAAACCACTTTCTCTATTTCGAGCACTCTGGCTCAAAAAATCGTGCATGGTTTAAAGACATTCATATCCACTTATACTTTAGTATACTGGTTTTTTTTTAATTTTTAGTGGTCCTTCATTGTGGTGGTTGACTGACCAAATCAAAATGAAGAGAACGATAACTTCCTATTTTAAAGTCGCAACGGCAGCGGCACAGGATACAACAGGACTACCAGGACCCAGTAAAAATCCGAGACTGGATGAAAGTGGAGGAAAACAGCCAGCAGAAGCTGTGTCTACAGTCCCATTTCAGTCAGTCCAACCTAGTACCTACTAGTAAAACGGAGTCCGAAAACGTTGAAAACATCAACGATGCGGTATCCTCATCTAGTTTGTATCCTCGCCCTAGGAAACTGTCGGAGAAAGAAAAGCGATACTATAATAAACAATGGGAGCAGAAATATAATTGGCTTGCATATAGTGAAGAAAATGGAGGAGCATTTTGTAATCTATGTCAAAATTTTATGAAAAATGATGCAAAGGTTCTACAAAAGACAGGCGGCGTCTTCATAACGGTTCCCTTCACATCATTCAAAAAAGCCTTGGGGAAAAAGGGGAAATTGGAGAAGCATGAACATTCTTCAGCTCATACAGTAAGTGTACAAATGGAAAATCTCAGGAGACAGGCAATGAAAAAACCAATCCACGCTCAAATCATTCAACAGAGTGAAAGTGAAACGGACTTAAACAGGAAAAGCTTAAAGACACTTTTGCGAGGTGTGTATTTTTTGGTAAAAGAAGAAGTAGCCCACACCACTAAATATGAAAGTTTGATTGAGAGTATTCTTGACAAAGTGAATGATGATTTTAGAACATGGAGAAAAGCTCAGAGTTCAAGGTCAAATTATAGCAGCAAGGACACTGCGTGTGAACTACTGGAGTGTATGGGCGAAGTCTTGAGGAATGATTTAAAGAAATCATTGCAACACAAAAAGTTTGCTATTTTGGCGGATGAAAGTACTTCTTTGAGAAATGAAATGGAGCTGACTATAATGTTTAGAGTTGTGGAAGATAAAGTCCCTGTGGAAAAATTTCTGACAATAGTCAAAATTCCTAATGGTTTAGCAGAAACCATTGCAGATGCTATCGATAAGGAGATTACCGCCCTTGGTCTATCATACGATGATCTTATTGCCGTTGGATTTGATGGTGCTTCCAATATGGCTGGGAACATTGGAGGTGTGAGAAGGAAGCTCTCGGAAAAGGCGAAAAGAGATATTCTTTATATACACTGCAAAGCACACATTTTGTCCTTGGCAGCAGCTTCCTGCAGGAATAAAAACCAAAAAGTCAAAAGGTTTTTTCATGTCTTAAAAGACATATACAAGCTGTTCAGCAAGTCGCCCAAGAAGGAGCATGTTTTGCATGAAATTCAAGCAATGATAAACGATCCAGTTCTTAAGATTCCAGAATGTATTGAAGTGAGGTGGTTGTCACACTACAGAATAGTGAATGCTGTATTCAGAAGCTTGAAGTCTATTTTACTGGCTTGTGAGCACATCCACAAGGAAGGAGCAGACTTTGCATCCCTCGCGGGAGGCATCCTGTTGGAAATCAGAGAGGAGAGTTTTTTCATTACCTGTTATGTGATGAATGAACTCTTAAGTGCACTATCTTACCTCAGTAATGCGTTGCAAAGGAAGGACTTGACTTTATCCAAAGTCATTCCCTTAATTTCCACGACAAAATTTCACTTGCGCGATATTGCGAAACAGTGTGGAGATTCCAATAGCGACCTACAGAAATGTATTAGAGGCATAATGCAGAAGTTCGAACCGGAAGTGCACCTTATTCCTGATCCAAATGCAGCCAAAACATACAGTGGCATGAAGGATTATTGTGAACGCGTAATTGCGGAAATGGAAGAAAGATTTAATGACAAATCGATTGATGTCATGACATTTGCCAGCCAGTTCGAAACATTTCAGTCATTAATTGATCTGAAGGAATCTGAAGTAAGGAAGTTTTGCCGCAACTTTCCCATGATCGATGTGGAAGGTGTACTCGCAGATTTAAAATCCTATAATTTTTATGTCAAGTCCATGCTAGATTGCGGGACATATAAAGTAGACGAAAGTCCAATTCCAACAATTTTGGAAGTTGACGTAGGATATAGCGAGTTACAGAAACTCTGTGAGATTCTTTTGGTGATCCCCGTAACAACAGCCTCCGTAGAAAGATCGTTCAGTACGATGAATAGAGTACTTACTAAATCAAGGAATAGAATGCTGCCAGAAACCTTGTTGCATTGCATGATGATCAGCATTGAAGGATCTGAAATGCCAACGGAAGTTCTTGGAAAACACGGTTGATCTATATGCGAGGAAGAGGATGCGTCGGATACGATTTCTTTAAAAACAATAAATTGTATACTTACCTAATTTGATTTGATTTCAGTTTTTGTTTTTGCCCGTTAATAAACTATATACCTATACAGGGTCATTCTTGACGAGCGTCAGTTAGAAAGATACGGAAAACCTTTGAAAATGAAAATAAACTGATAAGCCCTTTAAGGGTTTTGGCACATGATGAATTGAACTAAAATATTTTCAAAATGGCGCCACTTCCGGAAATACCGGAAGTAGCCATCAACTTTGTTATTTTAAATAGGGACCCCCTATTTTTTCTACATTTTCGGATTCTACGTCGAATTTGGAGTACAACGATACCCCATAGTTGACCCTTTGCTCCAAGGGCTTCGCCGATATTCAAGTTTTTGTGTAAAAAATTGAATTTGCAGGGATAACTTTAAAAATTTATTATTCGAAAACGGTGAGAGATATTGCAAAATAGTTTTCAATGCTTTATTAAGGAAAGATCGAATTTTCTTATGGTATGCGTAAGAGTGTAAAAAAGTGAGACTACGTCACTTTTTCAAAGCTCTCAACTTTTAAACTTTTAAATATCCGTAACTCCATTTTTTCAAATGGCACCCCCCATTTTGTTCTTCACCCTTGTTTTCCTTTTTCCCAGACCTTTAATTTGATGCAAAATGTCAAAAGCTGCTCCAAACGGTTTCCGAGATATTCCATGTTTTAGTTACTTCTTGTGGAAAGTTGATAAAAAAATTAAGTCGCTTGATGTTATTCTTTTGTTTTTATTATGATAATGTTTAAACGTCAAATTTTCGCTGCTTGAACTTATACTTCTCAATTTCTCGTTGGGTATCATTGAGCGATGCAGTTGGATTTGCAGCAAAATACGCCAGTACAGTTATTTCTTGTTCTTCAGAGTATACCACAGGCTTCCTTTTTTGTATTTTTGTTTGAAAGATACCTACCGTTATTCCTGAAATTTTGTAGTAATTTGCGAATTGTAGCCTCTGTGGGTTGCGCCTTGTCAGGGTATCTTTCGGAAAAGGACGACAAGTCCTGGCAGCTATTCGATTACATTCACCGTGTATTAATATTAAATTCAAAAATCTTCATTAGTGTAACCCAAACGAGCCATTATTGACGAGAAGTATAAGTTCAAGCAGCGAAAATTTGACGTTTAAACATTATCATAATAAAAACAAAAGAATAACATCAAGCGACTTAATTTTTTTATCAACTTTCCTCAAGAAGTAACTAAAACATGGAATATCTCGGAAACCGTTTGGAGCAGCTTTTGACATTTTGCATCAAATTAAAGGTCTGGGAAAAAGGAAAACAAGGGTTAAGAACAAAATGGGGGGTGCCATTTGAAAAAATGGAGTTACGGATATTTAAAAGTTTAAAAGTTGAGAGCTTTGAAAAAGTGACGTAGTCTCACTTTTTTAGACGGTTACGCATACCATAAGAAAATTCGATCTTTCCTTAATAAAGCATTGAAAACTGTTTTGCAATATCTCTCACCGTTTTCGAATAATAAATTTTTAAAGTTACCCCTGCAAATTCAATTTTTGACACAAAAACTTGAATATCGGCGAAGCCCTTGGAGCAAAGGGTCAACTATGGGGTATCGTTGTACTCCAAATTCGACGTAGAATCCGAAAATGTAGAAAAAATAGGGGGTCCCTATTTAAAATAACAAAGTTGATGGCTACTTCCGGTATTTCCGGAAGTGGCGCCATTTTGAAAATATTTTAGTTCAATTCATCATGTGCCAAAACCCTTAAAGGGCTTATCAGTTTAGCTTAATTTTCAAAGGTTTTCCATATCTTTCTAACCGACGCTCGTCAAGAATGACCCTGTATAAACTCCTATAATTTATTCGTTAGTTTACGATTTATTTACTGCACCCTCCGAGCGGCTGTAATGCCCCCCCGGAGAAAAATGCCTGAAAGAAACACTGGTTGTGTGACTTATTGAATTGGCACGTAGTGATTTTGTATGTTATATTTCGCTGCAATGGTTTGTACCTATCTTTCAGGAACTTTAGGTAATGAGTAACCGTGTTTTCGTTACTTGATATTTTCGTTTCAGGTTTTCAATGTTAGTTTATAGCCGGTATAGCTCGGGTTGTCTTTTAACTGTAGGCCACTGAATTTTTGCCAGTTTTCTCTCATAATGTTTTTTATTTTGTTTAGAAAATCTGCTAGAGTTAGTTTAGGTATCATAAATGACGATATTGATGAACCAGCTTCATTTGCTGCCCTCTTTGCTCTTATTAATTCTGTATGTCTTGAGCCAGCATCAAAAGTACTTTCGTTCCGGGTTTACATATTTGACTTGTCCCATTAATTAATAACTGCCCTTTTTACGGGGTTGGCAGTAAAGCAATTTTGCAGGGATTTTGTTGTTTTTTAAAGGCTTTTAATTTTGCTATGTCTTCCATGCTCTTCAATGCATTCTAAGAATCTCCATGTATTTATGTAATTATTGTCAATCACTGCACATCCCTTCGTTTTACCGCCGCTGCATGTTGTTACACAGAAATTATTTGTTCTCCCTTCAGCCTTTAGCTCTTCTTCTGCAGGTTTTAGTACGTCTGGTACCTGTTGTAAGTTTTCCCGGAAATTTGACGGTGTACTCAACTAGTTCCAGAGGATTCTCTGCTGGCCAAAATCGTCCAGCCAAGCAATACTTACAATGCGATTTTCACAATCGATGAGAGGTATTGCTCGGCATTTGCCTTTCCTATACCCCCAGCCCTGTTGATTTTAATTTTACATTTAGCTATTATTTGGTTGATGTGTTTGGCCCATGTTAGCCTGCTGTCTGGAATTACGCCCAGAGATTTGATCTCTTGCGTGTTTGGTGTTGGTAGTTACTTGTTTGGCACTTCATGTTTTAGCCTAAGCCGACAAAGGTGAAGACATGCCGATGTTATGTGTTTGATGTTTGTGATGTTTGTTCACTGTTGTAAGATGTACTGAGCTTTGCCTTCGTATAACTCCAGTCGGCTGGGGTTTAATTACATAATAAATTGTAAAGATGAAATTACAATGTAGGCAACTTGTGTTGCATCTTCTGGTTCTGTAGACACCGCCGACGATTTTTAGTCTGAGGGTGTTTGCACATTATGTGACAGCGTTATACCGCACTGAAATCGTGGGTTGTTTCTACAAACAGACGATTTTTTATTGGACCAATTATTGTACCGCCGCGCCGCCCCGCCCAGTGTTGACAATTTGACATTTATTTCCTAGGAGCGTGGACGTAACGAAAGAATTAATAACAAACAAAAGAATTTATTTTAGAACTCAAAACGCAATAAATAATCAAGAAAAACTTGAAAAAAAGACAGGCGGACGCCCATTACATCTACTCCACACACAGGTGGTCGACACAAATAAACAAAGAAAATCATACAATTCTTACAGTTTTTCAAATAACAATTAATTAATAATTAATTAATTAATAAGTACTGATGCAGAAACAGTCGCTGACAGATTCAAGAAAACTTTACTACTTTTCTACTCGATTGATACAATGATAACACAAACTGGCTGAATTAACACAATTACAAATTTTCGGTGCGATGGCTGTTAAAAACGGAGAACATTTTTTATTAATCTGAAGAACCTTCCAACAAAGTTTCGTTATGCACTACAAACTGTTTTTCCCAACCGACGTAACCTCTTCGTTAACGAACAGACCAAATTAACTTTTCACAAGGCGTGAATTGCATCTGCACAGATAATTCTGAATAAGACGCGTCTTCAAACAAGCAGAAAAGCTTATTATTTTATAAAATTAGCGTACAAGACGTACACGCTAGGGACTTGAACAACTCCGTCTCTTACATATTTTTGCTTACAAAGCACCCAAACACCCATAACACCAGTGAACTTTCGTGATAACAACGTGCTTATCGCGTCCGAGCAGATAAAGCTTAAATGCACTCTGCCAAACCTTGTCAATTCAGAACCGAGTCTCTTTTGGCAGCAACGTAACGACTAATCGCAGTTCTCAGTACGACACGTGTGCAAGCGGTGTGGTGGTGGTGTGTTGAGTAGTTACCCTTGCTCGTGTCGATTAATTAGCTGTAATTGAATCAGTTATTTACAACGGTGAACAGGTAGGTACGTACATTCCGGAAGTATGGGAGGTCAAGGAGGCATTCTCGTTTTTTTTTTCTTTTAGGTACTGAACCCCTACACATGGTTGTAAATCACTGTATACTTTCTACGCAACGTTATAGTGCCCTTCTGGTTTCCAGATAAGGGCGGCTAGGATTTACCTGGCATACGTCCCTGAAAAAAATCTATTCAAACAACCCTTATCAAGAGCCAGTTAAGTCTTTTATCTATCACGGAGGACTGTGTCAATCGTGTTCGAGTCAGGATTATCGATCTAAAGCGCGAACCCAAAAAATCACGGCAGTACTAGGTATCAGAAGTCGGTAGCTATTTCCCTACCCGAATTGTTTTTACGGCTAGCAAGGCAAGTAAGGTGGGTAATGGAATCAAAATAGGCCTGTTCAGAAAATAGTAATAATTGAATGAAACGGAACGCTCTCAGGGATCTGGAAAAATTAACAGAATAGTACATTTTTCAACGAGCGTAGAATGGTGGCTATAATTCACTCGGATAAAATTTGAGCGAGTGATGGAATCATCTAAGTAAATAAGTCATTCACTTTCTCTACGACTAATACAAGAAATGTATATATTTGCGTATACTGCCTTTTTTGGGGAAATTTTTTGAAAGAAGAAAAATTCTCCTTATGTGATGGTTTTTTCCGTCTGTCTGTCCGTCTTTCTGTTCCTAGTCTATCTCGTGAACGAAAAGAGACAGCGACGTCAAACATTCGCCAATCGATTTCTACGAGTTGAACTATCAGAGCTATTGAATATGAGCCGGATTAAATGTCTGTTTTGCGATTAACGAGTCTTGCAAAAAGGGTATCAATGAAAATTATGTGAAACAGCAGCAGAAATGAGTTG